TGTCAAGCAGTTTCTGACCAGCAAAATTATTATTGTGATAGGGAATCCTCCTTATTCGCCTGATTTGGTTTCATGCGACTTTTTTTTATTTCCCAAAGTTAAATTTTGCTTAAAGGGAACCCATTTCACCTCAGTTGAAGAGGTTCAGGCAAAAACGGAGAATCGTCCGAAAGGACTTCCAAAAACCTCGTTCCAGAATTGTTACCAGCAATAGCAGCGCCGAATGCATAAGTGTGTGAATGCTGAAGGGGACTACTTTGAAGGTGATAATGTCACGGAGAACTGATTCTGCAGGTACAATGATTTATTGGACTAGTCTCGTTACTTTTGTGTCACACCTCGTAATTATTTACAAGTGAACAAGTCAAACCTTCAAATGTCTAGCACGATATTAAAGTGCACAGTGAGCTGATAAATGACGGTCAAATATTGACATACGCAGAAACGATATTAGTTTCCGGTCCCCCTGATATTAACCCTTTGCGCTCGAAGTGTAACTCACATTCGTCATTCGGTTTGATACAATTTGAAATTACTTTTTAAATCTTGGATGGCTGAAATTTGTTATTGAAATTGAGTTAGAGAACTTTTGTAAAAGATGACTATTCTTTATTCGTGATTATGGCTGCTGTCCTTTAATAAGATATCAACTGTTCAAGTTGATCGAGTAACTGTTCAAATTATAAATGTTTTAATTGTTCGCAAACTATTGATAGGATTGATACAAAATGTGGAGGCTAAAATTGATCATGTGTATGGTTGGTTCTAGTGTCAAAATCTTCTTGGTCTTATAAATTGCAATCTTAACTGAAATGTATCAAATGATCCAAAACACTGTCTGACTCATTCCCAAACTTGTGATGACATTGATACAAATATGGAAGCTAAAACCATTTAAACCCGTTCTATAGTTATAATCTTGTTCGTCCTAATTTATATATTGCAATTGTAACTGAAGTTTACCAAATGATCAATAACACTGTCTTACTATTCCCAAACTTTTGATAAGTTTGATACAAAATATCAAAGCTAAAATTGATCATTTGTCAGATTAGTTCTAGTGTCAAAATCTTATTGATCTTGTAGATCGCAATCTTAACTGAAATGTATCAAGTGATCCAAAACAGTCTTACTCATTTCCAAACTTGTGATAGCATTGATACAAATATGTTAGCTTAAACCAATCATTTGGACTAGTTCTAATGTTAAAATCTTGTTAATCCTCCTCTGTAGATTGGACTTTTAACAAAACTTTATCAAATGGTCACAAACACTATCTTGGTGATCTCCATGTATTTTATAAAATTGATACAAAATATGGAACCTAAAACCGGCTATGTGCATAATTGTCCAAATTGCTGAATTAATTGCTCAAACTCTAAATGTCTCAATCGTTTCAAAACGTTTCCGAATTGAGGAAAATTTAATAATTTAAAACTTAACACAGTCCAAATAATTGACAGAGTAGAATTTCAACAAAATTGCAATCAGTTGTTCATTCTTTGTTTTTACTTTATTCCACAATTTTTAAAACACCTTGTACAGAAAATTTTAATCTCGTGATAAGTATTCGAAAAATTCCCACCTGTCTCACCCTCTTCTTGGAGGGTGACACCCGAAACACACCGAGGGTTCGAAGTCCCGTGTTTTCCAGGTGCCTGATGCATTGTCTGACTATGCATGGAACAGCGTCCCATTCCCCTGGAGGACCCCCTCCACCGCTGTCGCTCAGCTCCAGCACTCCAGAATCGCTTCCGGTTAAAGCTCCTCCTTTCGACGACAAAGACTCGCATGATCCACCCTGAAACAATTTTTATTTCCTTGAACTGTTACGTCAACATTGTACACGTACGTAGAATTGTTTCTTATTCGAGCTTTCGCACAAAGGATGCATCGAGTGTTATGTCATTCAAAGAAATTCCGACGGTATTCTGAGAATGCTTTCACGTATAATCTTCTGGAATTTCAACAGTGAGTTGTTATGGAAACTTTGTTGAAGAACGGATGTTTTTATAATTCATTTATAAGAATTGGTGAATTATTAATTTAAATTAACGTTTCAATTTTTTTAATTTGGTGAATTGGGGATTTGGGTATTTGGGGATTTGAGGATTTGAGGATTTGGGGATTTAAGGATTTGGGAATTTGGGAATTTGGGGAATAAGAGATTTGGGAATTTGGGAATTTGGAAATTTGGGAAATTGGAAATTTAAAGATTTGGGTATTTGGGGATTTGGGGATTTGGGGATTTGGG